CTAATTTGTATGTTTATCCATTTGTTTATGTTTCTGAGGAAAAGATCACAGTGTCACTTGTTCTAGAGAGTTATTTGTAAAACCCAATAGGCTGATTCAGAACAGAAATAAAATAAATATGTACCTACATTATAGTAATATAAGTTATTTACGGGATTGTTGCCATGTACCTTGTTTTTAGTGAGTTTCGAAATTCGAGAATTGAAGCGCTCTTCTTCCAAAGAAAAAAGTTTCATTTTTTATATTTATGCAGGCAAATGAGCTGACAATCTATCTGATTGTATGACGTCACTGTCGCCCATGGACACTTGCAGCTCCTAGGGTACCTCTACACTCATGCGTTGCCGCCTCTGTTGCCTGAACAGGGGTAATGACAGGGTACAGTAAACGAAATTCTATTTAGTCCGTCAGTTAGATGATCAAAAAATAATGGACACGTATTTTTTCTTTGGGCAATCAACCACAAAATGACAAAGTTATAGCGCGTCAAAGTTTGGGAGTAGGGTCTCGTGACGTCACTTTTGAGTGAATTTTCACTTACAAGTGTACTCAGACGTGACGTCATGCGACTTTTCAAATCAATATATCTCTGCAATGTTTATATTATGTGAAAAAAGAAAAAATACGTGTCCAATACTTTTTGATAGTCTACCTGATAAACAAAGAAAAAAAAGTCATCATTCCCACTGTAGCCAATTGTCAATATTTGTAAGTGTTGGTTTCTAGGGCTCCGTGAGGTTGGAGTTGAGAATGGTTAAGCATAAATGATTCTCTGGCAAAGAAGTATTTATAGGCCAAACCCAGTGACGCTGTAAAGGTCATCTGCGACACCATACAAACTAAAAAAGAAAAACTAAAGGCTATGGTAACCGCTTCCCGTTTGGCTGGACACAATATGCTTGTTTGTCACTTATTGTCTAATTACATCATCAGCGTAGTAATTTCCCCACTGCTGGTGCACAGGCCTTTCCTATGAACGCAATAGGAAGAACTGGGCCTTTTTTTTTTGTTTTTCTTTTGTTGGGAAAATGTTTGATGCATACCCCGCTTCTGGGTGAGAGGCGGGGTTATGTGGGACTCCTCCACCCCCCAAATCCCGCCCATCCGCTCAGCCAAACTGGCTCAGCGGCTGCTCGGGACGAGGGGGGGACCCACTAAAAACCCAACAGTGTTTCCTCGCCTGCCGGAACGGGTTTCGTGGGATCCTGGTGACTCTCCACGTTACCCCCGGCAGGGGTTCCTCCTCCTCCTGGCGGTCAGGGGTATGCCCGGAAGCACCTAGGCATCCCCCCTCGACGGGTGAGACTGTGCAATGCGGACGACGGACCACCCTGTCCGCCGTCCGCTAGCTCACTAGGGTGGGATGAGGCGGTCGTACCGCCGTCGGCGTCGGAGAGGGTCGGCCAGGAAGAACTGGGCCTGCCACGCCAGATGCAGATGTGTTAGTACTAACGACTACAGATACTTCTTCTCAGTCGCTATCTTCATTGCTGAAGGTCGTGTCTAACTCGAAATGTTGACCACCTGATGTACTATGCCTCTCCACGCATTCCTGTCCTCGGCAGTCTTTATAGACTTGGTTATTGATAGGCCAGTGAGCGACTTTACTAGGTCTGACCAGCGGGTAGGCGACCGACCGCGTGATCTTCTCCCGTTAACCTGGCCAACCACCATCAGCTTCTCTAGGCTGTCAGGGTTTCTGCGAGCGATGTATCCGAAATACTTAAGTATGCGCTGGTAACAGATAGTGGACAACCTTGTGGTGATGCCGAGCTCATCAAGTATGGACACGTTGGTCCGCCGTGAAGTCCATGGAATCCTTAGCATCCGCCTCCAACACTACATCTCAAAAGCGTCGATCCTTGCCCTTTCGCTCTGTCTTATCGTCCAGGATTCAGCTACTATTATACTAAAGACTTCAGATACAGCCGAGACCAATGGGTAACAGCCCTTCTTATTAGCAAAAGATTTCGCGAAAACAATTTTTTTGATCACCTATCTAACCAGTGAAAATTCCGCTTAACTTCCACAATTGCAGAGCGAATGCGTTGACCACTGCACCATCGATCTCTTTATATAATATAAAGACTAGCTGACCCAGCGAACTTCGTATCGTCATAAAAATATGGGTGGTAGAGGGGTGAAAATTAAGGGCTGTTTGTGTTTTTAATATTACGATACATATTTAACGTATTTTTTTCTTCTTCAGACGATTTATTAATTATTTTGAACACAAAATCGGTTATTGTGATTAGACCATGATAGCTAGATGTATGTTCTCGCAAACTTTTTTGTAGGTCTTAATGGGATCTACAAACCCGTAGTACATCATTTTGTTCTATTGTCTATAGTTTTTGCAGCGCACGCAAAAATAGGTTTTCGTTTTTACACCTTGTGTTACAAAATAGCAATTTTATTATCCTAATTATGAAAAAAAAATATAGTCTATAGCCTTCCTCGATAAATGGACTACCCAACACTGAAAGAATCATTCAAATCGGACCAGTAGTTCCAGAGATTAACGCGTTCAAACAAACAAACAAACTCTGCAGCTTTATAATATTAGTATAGATTAACATTTCATTAAGGTTGCTGGAGTTGAATAGTGCCCAATAACCATTCAAAATGAGCAACCTTTTACGGTACAAAGGTGATTTAATGACACTTCGGGTCAATGAATCTGTATCCATTATAGTGACACCGTTACGCATCGTCTGCAACACTCGGCCATGTCCTGTATAAATAGCCTAGGTTGAAATATCATATTTTCTCCCCATTTGTTAGGTTTGCATGTCAACATCACGATCAGGCTAGATAATATGCTCGATTGACACTTAAAAAAAGTAAAAGACTTTTCTTCATCGAAACGTAAAATGGAGCACAATATAGAACACATGAAGCAACTATGATTCGCGAACAAATATTTGTGCTCAACATAATATAAATAACTGCCATTACTGAGATTTGAAACTAGAATCATTAACGCCTGTGAAAGGCACTGAACCAATGAAATCAACATAACATAACATTTTTGAGTTACTCTAAAAAATTCCAACTTTTTCCAACATCAATGATGCAGAATTAAAATATTCGAAAAAATAACAATGACATAACAGAAAAAACAAAACCCAATGAAACAGATTCAGTTGTTCAAAAAATTCACTAACAAGAGTTGATCGAACAAATAAACTACCAACACTGAAAAAACTTTTCACGCAAATTGTTTGTACAGAACTCGTTCGGACTCTCGAACCAGTTCGGCTAATGAATTATAGAAGTTTCCACGTAGTTACATGCGAAAAACTAGTTACAACTTCGCCAATTACAAAAATAAGGCGATCCTTTTAAACAGCGCCCAATGAATATAAACCTACTATACCTCAAGTACTACAGCAGGTAAAACTGTTTCGCTCGAGACATTCACACTATGATGACTTCCCTTAGGAGCATATAATAGGCAGATGTCTCGGCAGTCAGCCATTCATACAATAGCCTCTTAATATCATAAATGTAGAAACAATAGATTCATGTACACACGCTGGAGTTATCCCCAGCAAGTGTACAGGAATCTATAATTTAGACTATTTTAGACTCAGAGACTATTCTTTGAGTATATATGTAAACGTGATGTTATGTCAGAACATAGGGCTTCTTCGCATACAAGCTTTATTGCACCGGCTCACTTTTAATCTGGGAACCTTAAAAGAACATAATTATAATACCAAGAATAATAATTTCCAATACTTCACAATCCCGACCACAAGATTTCCTGGAAAGGAAAAGAACTTCAGGGAGGGTTTTTCAATACGCACACAAGCTTCTTTCATCAACCCTGCTAAGTAATTGCTTATAATAAATAGTGTTGAAGTTAATCGAGATTTATTTAACATATGACAAAATTTATTTCGTTCACAGTAAATATATATGTAGTACAATAGCTAGTCAAAGACACGAGATCGAGCAGTAAGCAATGAATTCTGGAATTTTCTAACAGTAAAAGATCCACAATTTCAGAGCATAGAACCTTACTGTTAAAAAAACGACTTTAAAAAAATATGGCATAACTTTCAATCGATATGGAGCAGAAAACCCCATTATAATACCCATAAGGCACAATAGTTAGGTAAAGTGCCTCGGGTACAATATTAAAAATGATTTGTTATTCAAATTCCTTTCTGTTGTTTTAATCATAATCCCTTTGTCTTTTAATAATATCACAAAGTTCCATACCCCTTTTTAACGACATTAATTTCAGGAGCGACAATAAAAAAAAACTTTTTTTGTTTTCCGTCGTTGTCAGTGTTTAAAATTCAAAACTTGGGAAATATATTACGGCGTAGGAGAATATTAAACTATCATTAACGCTTTTTACGCCTGAAACTTTTACGAGTGAAGGAATTAAGTTGAGATTTTCACACTGAAAATTCATAATTTATTAAATGGACACCATTCTCCAAGTTGATTTAGAAGCAAAACAGCTCAAATGTCTACTTAAAAAGATTAAACTTAATCTTCTTTATAAATTTAGTAATTTGACGCTTAATATAATTTTGTGATGATTATAATTTAAGTACGAAATTTATTTTCATAAAACTAAGGCCTAGCAACAGTGTTATTTCGGTTTGTATTCCCATAGCTAGTATAATTTGTAGAGCTTCAAGTGTGGTAGGAAATGCTAATTGCATCAGGGTAGGTAAAGTACAAGTAAAATCTGATTTCGGAGATATAAATTTATTACTTACCTACCACAAAATAACTCATGCTATAAATAAAATTGCCAGAGGTTCATGTTGTAGGATAGCCAGTTACAGAGCATGGTGATGATGAGATATCCGTGCTCCATAAGTAATTTATGCAACTGTACTCTACTGACATGAAAATTATTTTTCTCTTTAAATCAGAATGTCTAGACCTTAACGCAGATCATCAGATAGGGCTGGATTCATTTATTAGAAGCTATACATAAAAATACAAAACTCATTATGTATCTTTTGTTACAGGAAGTAATGCCATGACATAGTATAATGTTGGCAACAAAGAGGCAAAACAATCGAAGATGAATGCGAAAAAATCGCCAGAGAAGAGAAAAATCGAGAGAGTGAAGAAGAAAGACGAAGAACGAAAGAAAGAGAGATATATGCTCATTGTGCTACATGTGACGAGTGAGCGGTGCGCACTGTGAGTCGTAACGATGACAAGTGAGATTGCACGCGTCAATAGTTCGGATGAGCGAGGCGTTGATAAAGAAGCGAAGCGTGCGAGATAAAGGTTTGTTATTAGGTTTATATAAATAACTAAATCATTAGGACAGCACATACAATGGACAATTTCACATACATAGCTCAGTTGATAACCTCAATAATATTCTATCAAAATCTCTGACTTCTGTCTATTTCCTTTCAAATGGTAGATACAAACGGCGCAGACACATTAATAGGGCTACATTTCTTATCTTTTTTGGTTACGGAAAAAATGTAAATAGCCATTTCCGATATTTTTCTTTTTTTTTTCTTTTTTACACTAGGCGCAAAAAATATTAGCCTGATGTTCCTGATGTTTTCACCTTCACCGAGAAACTTATATCCAAATTTAATTTCAGATCGCCACATATGGATCCCATAAACGGATCCCATAGCGGGGCGAACGCGACCATCTCCGATATCACAAATGGCGCGTACAACGCCACGGACGCTGGCGAGTGGACGAGCAGCGTCATGTTCAAGCTGCGGACCTGCGTGCTGCTGCTCATCGTCATCATGGCGGTGCTCGGCAACATGCTCGTCATTGTCAGTGTTATGAGGCACAGGTAAAGTTTCTCGCATAAACATCCTGATATATATAATACTAGCTGTTACCCGCGGCTACGCTCGCGTGGTTTTCCTATTTGGGGCTATCATCCTCTTTTGACATAGTGAGTAAAAAAGTAGCTTATAGCAACCCAAAGCTTCAACCTATTAGTGCAGTCATTGAAGCGAAAAATACGGTCTTACCTCCGAATTTTTTTACTGTGAACCGTTTTGCATGAAATTTTGGAATTAGGCTCACCTTACCCTTAACTTCAAAAGTGAAAATGATCTGAACTCCGCCTATTATTTTTAAGGGGTGTAAACAACCCCTTAATGGAAAAATTTACATTGAGCCATTTCAGCAGGTAAGCAACAGCAAGCAGTAGGTAGCTACCTACCTTGATTGATTTTAAAGAAATACGATTTACCAAGGTACCATATCTGTTTTTGTTTTCCTTTGTGATTTGGTTTTGTTGTGCATTAAATGAATTAGGTAGGTATTTTGGTAGTTTCTTCGAATGTATAAAATTGACTCACTGATAAAAATTATGGAAAAACACATAACATCGTGTACAGTAGCGTACTTAAATAGTACTGCTATGTGTTTAAAATAATTAAACCCTTTATTCTAATAATACTAATTCTTTTACATTTTGAAGTTTTATTACGTACTATCCATAGTAGTATTAGGTATTATTATGAGAGTATTTGTTTTGTTTATCCTTCCTCGAAGCCTAAACCACTTTGAAATTTGGTAAGTATATATAGTGCAGTCATTGAAGCATTATTACTCCGAATTTTTTTTACTGTAAACCGAATTGCATACAATTTTGGAATTAGGTTCATCTTACCCTTAACTTCAAAAGTGAAAATGATGGTTGCCACCCCTTCTGGGGGGTGACTTTTTTTTCAAAATAAGTATTGTAATAAATTTTAAGCAAAAAATCATCTATAAAGTTTTTCAAATAATCCAATACTTTTCAAGTTATTGGCAATTGAAAATTCGAAATTTTTTCCCGTTTTTCATCGGTTTTTTGCAAATATCTCCAAAAATGTAAGTTTTATCGAAAATTTTATAAAGAACAAAATTGTAGCAGGTAAAACAATGAACAATTTGGTTTTTTTACAGAGTATTCTAAGTGCAATATTAAGCTAGATGTCAAAGATCAAAGCCGTTTTTTATTTTGTCTGAAATTTAATCGATGTGGTCAATGCCATCTAGCGGCGAGCAGATGCATTTTATGCATTCTAATACAAAATCTTTTTATGTCATACCAAAGTATTTTTTTGTGATTTTTTCCATTTAGGGGTTGTTTGCAAGGGTTGTAAGATTTTCAAGGGGTTGAAAATGATTTTAGTATGGGGTAATTATGTTAGAAAATACTTTACAATTTCATCACTTACTATTAGACATGTTTTCTAGGTATAAAATGGCTCAATGTCAATTTTTCCATTAAGGGGTTGTTTACACCCCTTAAAAATAATAGGCGGAGTTCAGACCATTTTCACTTTTGAAGTTAAGGGTAAGGTGAGCCTAATTCCAAAATTTCATGCAAAACGGTTCACAGTAAAAAAATTCGGAGGTAAGACCGTATTTTTCGCTTCTATGACTGCACTAATAGGTTGAAGCTTTGGGTTGCTATAAGCTACTTTTTTACTCACTATGTCAAAAGAGGATGATAGCCTCAAATAGGAAAACCACGCGAGCGTAGCCGCGGGTAACAGCTAGTTAAAAACAATAAATATAAAAAAGTAATGTTCATGAATAGCGCCATCCGAAAAACCTCAGATTTTTAGTGCAAGTAAACTCGACTCGGGTAGCGACATCTCTTCAGTTTCACACGCAACAGCTTGGTTTTCGAATTGTTATTCGAGTTGGTAGCGCCTACCTCTACTCAACATCCAGGATCATCTCCACTTGAAAATTATTGGATAATACTCGATTAAGGGACTAAAATAAATCATAACAGCTGTTTATTTAATATCTGTCTACTGTAAACAGCTGATTATTTAATATCTATTTGATGTTTATAAGATTTTCTGGTAAGATATTAGGACACTGACGGAAGTCGTTTTTTTTTACTAATATTGTTTTAATTAAAATATCTACCTACATGACGTTAAAATTAACAATAAATATTAAAAAGTCGTGTTCATAAATAGCGCGATCTGGAAAAACGCAATATCACAACTCACATTTTCAGCAATTAAAAATTCTCGATATTAAAGACGGGTGGTGCCATCTGATAAGTTACTCAGAAAATATTATTTCAAGAGAGACTACTCGGTTGAGTTGGTATTCGAGATGGTAGCGCCATCTCTATCTATAATCACTCGAAAATGATATTTTTATATTATAAATTTGGAGTAGTATTTGCTAGATTTAATTTTAAAAATAAGATTAGAAAGAAATTGCATAAAATTACCTTTATTGCGTATTTAATAAATGAAACACTAACACAAAATACTCGGTATTGAACACGAGTGGTGCCATCTCGTATTATTAAGTTAAGATAGCAACTTCCACGTTTCAAATTTAATCTGTCTTCGTGACAGTAGCGCCATCTCTATCGGGACCAACCATGAAAATGATTAATTTAGTTGAAAATTATGTAAATTCGAATATATAAATTAAAAAAAAGTAGCCTATAGCAGGCTCATAAGTTCAAGCTATACATTTACCAAATTTCAACACAATCGGTTCAGCGGTTTAGGCGTGAAGAGAAGACAAACAAACAAACAAACAAACACACTTTCCCATTTATAATATTAGTATGGATTCTAGTTTTGACTCTACATACATATATTATTTTTTTTTAGAAATGACAAAAATAGGCCACCTATATATATATACCAAAGGATACCTTATATATAACTTATATCAAAATCAAAGGCACTATTTGTTGTAATTTTGGTGTAAACATCACAACTAGAAAATTAACTGGTTAAATATTTGTATAAACATTCCATTAAATCAGTGCTATTTTCGAAAATTCATATTAGCTCTACAACCAAGAAAATTTATGTTGTATAGTATTTTTAACCCTTTACGCAAGCCGTGCTACTGACTTTCCATAACCAGAACTCATAATTGCAATACCATCTTCTCAATAAAAAAAAAAGTTGTTAACCCTTTAATTTTTTTTCAGGAAACTCCGTGTCATCACCAACTACTTTGTCGTCTCCCTTGCGTTTGCTGACATTCTCGTCGCGATGGTGGTTATGCCCTTCAACTTCAGCGTGCAATTCAACCAGGGCTGGGTCTTCGGGGAGACGATTTGTGACCTCTGGAACTCTTCCGACGTTTATTTTACATCAACGTCCATACTCCACCTCTGCTGCATATCCGTGGATAGGTATTATGCCATCGTGAAGCCGTTGAAGTACCCCATCAAGATGACAAAGAAGGTTTGTATATTTTTTATTAAGCGCTTATTACGGTATCACATCGTCTATATTTCTTCATGCTGTGTCCTGCGTGGGGTAGTTTTCATATTCATTGATTAAAATTCTTGATAAACCATAAAAAGAAAGACTTTTACTTTTTATGAAAGAACAGCTGCTTGAAGAGTATATGCATGCTTGCAAATTGTAAAGTATTCCAGTGATCAGTAAAGAATCGTTCATTATTATTTTAATTAAACAAAAAAGAGCAGCATTTTCAATTCGTACAAACGAACAATCTGTATAAAAAACACATCATAATAAAGAAATAAATTACAGCCGTGTCAGTCATTTTTCATAGCACTTCTTAATTTTAACCGATTTAAATTACTTTGTTTAAATTGCGAATCCGTGAATGATTTGCAATTCATATTCTTTGACGATTTTTCACCAACTTCTGAGAGATTCATAATTTTACATAATACTGTTATGAGGTTTAATATTTTAATACGGGCTTTCGTTTAACTTCTGAACAGCTCTCGGTTGTGAAATTTTTAATGAACTGCTTCAAATCTTGCCGTTCTTTATATATTCGAACATTTTTTAAGAATTCCAGCTAGAATAATTCTTTATGCATTAGGGGCAACAGGTTTTCTTGTGAAAAACTTGATATGAACACTTGATTGTAAAGAAACATTGTAGCTTTTTTTTAGTAATTTTTAAACTTTTTTTAGCAATACACAACGTTGTTGTATAACAAAATAACCTAAACAAACTTCTGTGTAACAAGATTTTATTTTAACAAAAAATTAAACTTATTGCTAAACTATTCTCATAAAGATGACAGGTTGTTGTACATGGATGTTTATACAATTCTTGAAAAACAAATTTGTTGCCAATTTTCTGTGTAGGAGATCTCATTTTAAAATGTAAGCTTCATTTTTACAAATCTTTCAATACTACAATTTCTGCGACAGTATAATATAATGCAAAAGTTAGAGTCGCTAGGGGCATGAGATCGTTCTGTGAAGATTTTCATCAATTGATTCACCCTTTTGTTCTCTCCGTATTGTTAAATATTTTATTCATTTCCAAAAAGGGGCTGTTATCAGTTTAATTGAAGAAGGCCCAGCGCTTCAAATAAAAATGGCTGGGTTCATAAATAAAAAAAATAGCTTTGAAAATTGTTTCGCTCAGTGTTTAGCATAAGAGTTTTGTTTTTACTTTTATTCAAGTAAACTTATTAAAATGAATTCATATTAATTTGAATAAAGGTGTCTTGAATAAAAATATTTTCATTATACTCTGCTAAATTCTAATTACTACATTTTATATGAAAATTTCGTCCTAACAGTCTTTGGAAAAAATACTACTATATATTTTCTTAAAAAGAGTATTTGTCAGATAAAAAATTGTACGATACCAGCACAGCAGTAGTAGTATACATAAAAATAAACTTTACAATATTTTAGTATTTTTACTTTTACTAGATTTGTATATGGTAACATTGTACGATATATGAATTGAAATCACCAATGAAATTAAAGTATTTTATTAACATGATTATATTATTTTAAACGAAATTTTACTAGAGGAAATTCTACTCAGTCCAGGTTTAAGACGGGATGGTTGACCTGACCCGAATCAAGTGGAAGTTTTCATAGTAAATTTTTTCTTTAGATTAAAACACCAGCCGAGCTGAAAAGTAAAAATATAATAATGAATATTTTATTCAATTACTCAAACTCAATCTCAAATCGTTTATTGCAACCATAATGTGTACAGTGGGTGGTAGGTATATAAATATGAGCATTATGGACCCCGTGGGGCACGAAATTGGTTATTAGAAGAGAGGTTAAGCTTATAAGAAGAAAAACAATAATAGTAAAATTATAATTGGATGTTAGAGATTGTTTCATATGTTTAATTTTGATTGTTATAATTGTATTTTTATTTATATTATCACTATCTGATTTAATTATAAATAATAATATTAATAATTTCACAAAATGAAATATAAAATATAATAAATAATTAAATCAATTATTTATAAATGTACATTAATAATTACTAATCTTATCATTAAAATATTCATTTACATTATAATAACATTTGTTAATTAGAAATTCCTTTAATTTATTTTTAAAAGTCAAGTAATTATTTTCATTCATTATTGTATTAGGCAATTTGTTATAAATTTTAATAGATGAATCAAATGTGCTTATAATTATAATTACTGTTACACACATTTATTTTCCGAGTGTAATAAGGCCTTAAATTTGATAAAGTTTTCGTAACCAGCTAGTACACTAAATTAACCATCAGATGGTAATGCCATATCATATTTCGTTTATGAAGATGATATCGTGGTATAAAATTTTTCTTTTTATATTTTTACATTAAAACACATCGCTACCCTTTTCAGCCTTTGCGTTCAATCAGTAAATTATTTTGTTTTCTTCCAGATGGCGTTTGTGATGTTAGCAGCGACGTGGTTGAGTCCAATCACAATATCTTACGTCCCAATATTCATGGGATGGTACACAACCACAGATTTTCTAGAGAGTCGCAGAGACGATCAGTGTGAGTTCAAAGTGAACAAACCTTACGCAGTGATATCTAGCTCCATATCATTCTGGATACCTTGCACCATCATGATATTTACGTACTTAGCGATTTTCAAGGAGGCCAACAGACAGGAGAAGGCGTTGCACGCTAGAGCCGGCAACGCCATGTTGATGCACAGACATTCTAGAGAAGTGAGCGATAAAAATGGTGCACTACATATAAACGCCACCACCCCAACCAAAGATAGAAATTTATTGAAGATGAAGAGGGAGCACAAAGCAGCCAGAACTTTGGGAATCATCATGGGAGCATTCATACTTTGCTGGCTGCCATTCTTCCTCTACTATGTGTCAACATCATTGTGTGACTCGTGCAATTGCCCAGAAGTAGTGACAGTGATAATGTTTTGGACTGGGTACTTCAATTCCGCGTTGAACCCTATAATATACGCGTACTTTAATAGAGACTTTCGTAATGCTTTTAAAAATACATTAGCTTGCGCGTTCTGTAGTTTCTGCAAGCGTAGTGCGTCAGATTTAGATGCAATGGAACGATTAGATAGAAGAGGATCCGCGCAACTGAGAGTGCCGATACCTTCGAGAAGAGCATCGGATTTGGCGTCGCTTTGAACTTCGAGCGAAACAATAGCCAGCCGTTTGAGGCCTACTTTAATTTCAACGAAGTAATCTAGGCCCCGGTGTACTTATCCAAAATTGTGTTGACTGAGTTGTAGATGTTAATAAGATGGACAGTGAATTATGACCACTCTTGACCTCTAGAGTTTCAGTAAAAGCCGAGACATTAATTGATGATGGTGATATAGAATAGCTGTGTTGAACGTAATAACATTACCCATGGCAGATTGCCAAATATGTATGGCAGCATGAAATCACAAATCCTCCGTTAAACTATATGGAGACTGGGTGTTAGGCATTTTTACGTTCGGTTGATAAAGTAATTCGAAGGATTTCTGGGCTTTAATTGATAATAATCTACTCCAAAATCTGTTTTTACCAAAGAACATGTTTTCCAGTTTTTTTATCTAGTTCTAGAATTGATAGCTCTGATCTGAAATAGAATTCCGTGTCTAGGTTTAGTGTAAATAGATTTAAGCACGTTTTTAATAAAATTACTTTTGTTTAGAGGCTGATAATAATGTATGTGTATCGATGGCCTATTTTTGTCTTTTCTAACCAAATTTAATAAATGTATGTAGGCCAAATCATAATTACCTATGAATGTAAATAAAATATAGTCAAAACTAGAGTATTACTTAATTTATTGATATAAATTTAATAGGAAGTAATTAAGTGATTAATTGTAGAGAAATAGTGAAGTAATTAAGTGTATAGAATGAATTTTAAAATTAAATTATTTTCTAGGTTAATTTTTTCATGATTCAAGATATTCTGTCGTAATGTAAGTAATCAACGTAGAAATTGATTTTTTGAAGGTTAAAAAATCTTATTTTATATTTCTGTAGTAAATAATAAAATCTCTGTAACAAGGAAATAAATTGGTAAAATAATTTTCGGGTCAAACTTTTTTATTTCATCATTCGAAACATTGTAATCTGTTGTAAATATAATTTAAGGCAAATAGTTAAAAGCAAATAAATTACGTGTATATGGTATAGAAATAATAATTATTAGATGGTAACGAAATATTAGGAATAAATGATTTTGTTTAAACTTTAATAGATACTATAAAGATATGGGGACAAATAACGCTTCAATAGAAAATGAAAAAAAAACGATTTTAAAATAATTATCGATGTACTATGATTAACTTAATTGACAAACCCGTTAGATTCGATGTGTCAGTGTTGTGTCGAAATATTATTTTAATATAGATATAATAATAAAAAGACTAATAACTTCTATATACATAAAAATAAAACTTCAAATAATCGGATATATTGTTCGAATCTACGTTCTAATCGTTATTAATGGATCCAGTTATACATATTAACATTAAATCAGTGTGCTTAGAAATCATTTCATATTATTATTGTAAGATTTACTACTCAGTTGCAGAAATGTTCAAATATTTAAAATCTTCTTTGACTGTTCACAATTTGACCTTTTAACTGTTGCACGAAGCTGTACAATAGAAGACGCGAATAGTTTTTTAAATTAATGAATATAAATGTTAGAACAACAGTCAAATCATATTAACTAAGAGCTAATAACTAACTAATGTAAGATTAGTTCTGTGCAACAGCCGCACTCAGAGAGTACAAATATCTTTTATTATTTCAAAAGCATGAGGCGGCGACATCTACATGCACCACATATAACCAACGGATGGAAGAAATATTACTCGCCATATTCAAGAGATGGCACTGCCGGCGCTGCGATCAATAAAAGTGGAAGCCTACATCGCGCAAGATAAATTCGGAGGCAAACACTTAATTTATGCAATGCCCGACCAACATCAGTCGGGCCCCTCACGACAACGGCTAACTAGAACCGATGTCCAAGTCTCAGAGACGCCCTCTAGTCGAGCCGACCCCCTCAGTTTCGAGTGGTCTAGAGGCTCCAGACGGAGAGGAGACTCCCCCCGAGGGGAGATGCCATCCACCTGGAATACCTCTAGAGGCACTCGCCAATTCTCCGCTTGAGGTCCACATAGGATCTCGTCGTCTCCAAACCCGGTGACACTGTAAAGGTCTTCACGACCAACAGCATACATACTAAAGAAAACAACAGTCGGGCCGCGGCCCCCGAGCTAACAACGCCCAGTTCGGAGGAAGATCTTCCCCTTTGGCCTTCCTAAATGGCATACCTATATAAAGTCACGTTTTGTCGATATCAATTGTTATCGCTAAGATTACATTACTAACTGATACAAACTTATATGTAAATTGAAGTGAAGTCTCTGAGTGCGGTCGTTGGAGTTTTTAAATATAAACGTCTATAGTCATTACTTACTGCAGCAACTGAGGGAGAGTCCTCTATCTCATGTGAATGCAAAACGACCTTCTTCAATTATAATAAAGTATGATGATTTCATTTATTACGTCCTCGTTATTCAAAATTAACGAATCTTAATCTTTAATACTAAATAATTTCAAGAAAGACCTAATATTGACACTTTTTTTATTTCCTGATAATTTTTGGTAGGTATTCTAACCATTAACTGTAATGGATATTATGTTAACGCACATAACGAATGATTTAACCATTTCAACTGGTCAATCTTTTTTTGTTATCCGCAGACTGTTCTGACTTTGTGTATGAACTACTAACATTGAATTTTAGTTTGAATGTGACCTTGAAACACTTGCTATTGTAAATTCAATGTGTCTTCCTTTTTGAATAAGTAATTAGGCTCAAATTTTATGGTAAAAAATATTACGATATAGAGGAACGTACAGATATTAGAATAACGAATTTTAATAAAATTGTAACCGATTTTTAGTCTCTGTCGTGTGTAGCAAATGCCCAAGTCAGAATATGTGGGCTGTAAATTAAATTGAGTAATAATAAATGGTTGTGAATTTTTTAGATATTACAACTTACTCCCTAACGAATCATATCTAAATTTTTGTTTTTTGTTCTTTCGAAGATACCTTTACTACTATAATAAGCATCACTATTGTCATAGTTTTAGCCACAATATTAATTTAGGAGTTGAAATACAAGCATGGTTTGTTTGTTTCATTTGAGATCCGTCCAATTCTTTTGTGTTTATCCGTAGCCTTAACAGTTAGTCGGTGTGTTTAAATAATATAGAAAATAGTTCTTGTATAGTCAAAACTTCTAACACCTTCTTATCAAAGACCTTATCCTTTCCTTCACCGAACTTCTAAATTCACAGTGGAAGAGATCAAAATGATTCTTAAAATTACACAAAACCATTTAAGAAATCATGACGAATGTCACACAAGTGATCAATTATAAAATATAAATAGTAACTTCATGTAGGACCATGTTTATACGTTTGGAATGGGATTCGAAAAAAACTTTCAAACAAGTTTTCACTAAAATCTAACTAAAGTAATTGACATTCGACAAATCTAATTTCGTCGGTTTTATAGTCGGAATATAAGATTACACGCCAACAAAATTTTAATCAAAAGGGTTTCTTGTCTCTTTAATGCTATTAATCTGTAAGCTGTGACGATGATTCTGTCCTTTAAACTTTTCTTCTTACCTCTTTTCATTAGCTTGAAGCAATCAGATGTATTGTAACATATAATATCACAGCAATATGTAAATTTTAACTGTTTAAAGTAGTTCAGTGTATAGACTAGTTTCCATTTAAATTGTCGTTTTCATTTATAAAAGTAAGTAACATTGAAATCAAATGTAGGTTAGCTAAGTTTAGGTGCAGATTTGATTTGCTTTAATGGAATGTATCAATAATGATTTTTGATGTTCCTCAAATTAAGTTGTTGTTTGTCATTAATTTAAATCGTTACATCCTTCTGGACTGTGATAGATAATATATCATATTTTATTGTTACGTTATTTTCACATTGCTAACTTTTATAATTGACATTATTTCTGTTGACTTTTTCAAAGTTTATATTGTAAGGTGTTGATTTGTTTTCTTACAAAGTAAACTCTATATTTATCATTATTATGTAAAGAATCGTTGTAAATATTCTTTTAATTGCCATACGTGATAATAGCGAAATGATTATAATATTACAATGTATTATTGCTATTTACTTATAAATTTAATAGTGATGTTTAAATTATTTGAAAAAGATGCATGGTGAGACTTTAACCTTTAGGTATTTACCTAATATGTGCGTGTAATCAATGCTTTTTGCAAAATAAACGGAAATTGTTTCGTATATAAAATTGATTACTTTTCTTACTTCCTTTTTCCTTCAATTTGGACGATTTAATATTATCTATTTAAAAACTTAAATCTTAGCGCAGTCTTAAGATATTTGGCGACCGAAATCGATGGTGCAATAGTTAGCGTGTTCGGTCTGTGAGGCCAAAAAAAAGCGAAAGTGAAATCGTCGAAGCTAAGTAGCTTTCACATATGATGGTTGACCATAAATTTGAAAAATAAATACCTACACCAGAATAGATATTGTATGCTTATTTTTTCAAACACACGTATTTACACTAAACCTTTTTGTTTCACTTACTAAAGAACTTGTTTAACATAATAAACCCACCAGTGGTACCGCCACGGCCACAGAAAGTTAAGGTAATTTGATAAAGATCAAGTTTACATAATTCCTAATATAATTTCCCAAGTTTCTTAAATTATCTTTATGGTGAACAATATGTGAAAGATGTAACTTTAAAGATCTTAGTGACCAAAGCACATAAATGCTTGTTCACCATCCCTTTGAAGCAAAAATTGAAAATTTATCCAGAATACATTGCGAATGAACAGTCGGTAGGAAAGGTAAGTAAAGTGCTTTTTAGAATCCACTTTCATTCGCCAGCAGCGACCGGCTATTTTACAAAACTTCACATTTGTCACCTGTCAGACGTCCAGGCGCTGGAGGCCATTAATCAACGTGAGATTTGCATGTGAATTCCTATCTCTTCCTTTGGAAATGTTAGAACTTGGGTGTCTAGGTAAAGGTATTGTACAATTTCAGAACGTAGCTTGGTAGGTTTATAGTTTAAAAAATTGGCTATTGGATTATTTT